CTAGAAGATCGCGTAAGGCACTACCTTTATTCTGTCATGTGGTTCACACAGTCTTTTGCACAGATGAGAGGGGCAAGTTGCACATTAGGGGAAAAAAAGGCATATTACACAGTTCATTCTGCACAGGATCTGTAATGTTGAAGATTTTCCCTGACACAACTCACAGAGATTTTATTGCTCAATTCACACTATATTAATCTCAACCCTGTATTTTATATAACTGCTTGGCTTAATAACTGTACAGTCTTGTATCCAATGTGGATTGCAGATTTCCATGAATTTGAACAAACTGAGTTTTAGAGTATATGCTTCAGAGAGCTAACAGGAAAACTGAAAAGTTAGAGCCTCAGAAGAAAACAGGGTTTTTTCCTTACCCAATGCTCAAAACTAAGTAGGAAAGCTCTGCTGTCACCCTCTCCGCTGTTTGTGGTCTTGTATTGGGGTAGTGTTAAAAAAACAATAAATAGAGACTTAACAAAACCATTCTTCAGGGCAAATCTCTATCTTATTTAAGGCTTTCACCAACACATTTAGAAACTGGTATCATTTCTCTTCAAAATTCTGGAAAGTGGGAAAAAAATATCAGGGGGGCAATTATACTATTATTTTAATTCTAAATTGTCCCTAACTGGAAGTACCACTAAAAACATTCATGCTGACAAAAGGAAGTTCAGCATGCTCAACTGCATTGGTTGCAGAATTGAAGCCTACTAAGCCTAAAGCTGAAACACAGTTTTCATGAATGATGAAATTCCCTTAGGGCTCACCTTTAGGGGCAAACACCAAAGCAATTTATAACCACAGTGTTGAAAGGCATTCAGCTTGAGATATCTGCACCTGCCCTGTGCAGGTAGTCACACAGCAAGTTAAGTGTCTGAGGGTTAAGTATACCTTTAAAATACCAACTAGTAAATCTGCTATTGCCTCAGAAGTGGAAAACAGAAAAGAATCAAAGAAATAATCTTTCTTAACTGGAAACTACAAGTTTATGCTAATTTTACTTGAAGTTATAAGTTAAACTGTTGAGAGTTCTGTCAAATTTATTGCTGTTTATGAATTAGGTACCAAGATCCTACAAAACCAAAACAGTTTGAAATAGATTTAACATCAAAGCCATGAGGTCCATGTCAAGACCACAGCCAGAATACGGGAGCATTTTCAGAGGAGTATACATTGAGATAAAAATAAAAACAAAAGCCAAATTAGGTTGCATTAAAAATACCCCCACCAAGCACACCATCCACACTCCAGCATCACTATTCATTCTATTCAGAGGCAAATGCTCCCTTTGTCAGAACAAAAAACACTCACAGGCTGTTCGCATGGATTACAATAACTTAAAAAATATTCCTGATTAAATAAAGAAAAACAAGCGGCCAGGACACAAGTCTGATATTTGAGATGGCTCCTGACTCCTCGATAAATTGTTCCAACTCTTTTGTTTCCCTTCCATGTCATGACCTGTGGGTAGCAGGGCTGCCTGTGTCACATTAGCAACTGTCCCTGACACTGAGCTGTGTCCTGCCCTACCAGACAGTGTGTGCATGTGTGTGTCCATCCCTGCATGAGTCTGCAAAGCGTGAGAGAAACCTTAAAGAGTAAAGGGGAAAAACCCCCACCCCCTTCTTTGTATAACGACAACAGACTAATAGACACACGCGCATATATATACACATTCGTATCTTTCTTACCCCTCTTGATTACTTACACTGTGGTTGAGGAACATGACCAGGTGAAAAAGTGATGTTATGAGGAAACAATTCTATTTGGGAACTATCAAGCACCCATTTCTTTCTGTGCCGTCCTCCCCCCTCTTCCCCTGCACTACACTGCAGCTCTGAAGCAGCACCTTTACGGGCAAGTTCCTACATTTTTACTCAGAGATAAAGCAAAAAAAACCCAAGCAGTTGCAGTGTCTGAATAAAATCCAAGGATACTAGCAAGCCATTTCCCCATTTCAGCGTCTGCATTTGCTAAAATAAGTTACTAAAATCCATTCAAAGTAAAGGTAAAAGCAGTAACAGAGAGAGAATATAACAGGCAGATGTGTCGCTACTCTCAATGTCTACACAGACAAAAGAAGGTTTTCAAGCTTCAGAGAAAGATGAAGTGTTGTGCCTGCTGGGTTACACAGCAACATGCTACAGGAAAAATAAACCATTATCCAAATGTCTGGGATGCTACAAACATCAGTGCAGGGCTTAGCATGTGGCAAGAGGATATGCTAACCAAAATTCCCAGAAAAATGTATAGAGACACATCCAATCCACTTCAGAGAAAGAATCTTAGCTCTGTACATGAATCACCAGCAGTCCAAAGAGGATCTTGGCTCCTTTGAGTACAGAGTGATCAGAGGCGCTGCCTGCGCCCTCTAGCAGGATCAGCTCAGGCCCTATGGCAGAGGAATGGCAGAGGTGGCTGAAGCAGCACAAAGTGCCAGCAGGGGACCCACAGGAAAAGCACAGTTATGGTCTGTGTGCATGTTCCTGCGTGATCCCTTAAGCACACGTGGAGGCTGATTGTGCACATTGCTTCATACCCATCCTGCCATAAGGCTCTCACAGCCACAGAACTGAGGTGACAGACCAGGCAGCACATTTTCCATTACCCCATGAAACGTTTAACCCAGCCTGGGGCTGCTTCATATCTTCCCACCTCCTCTGGCTTCAGCAACAGTCTAATGCAAATATACTTCCATATTGCACATCCTTAAGAGCTCCCCAGGGATCAAGGGACTCTGCCTGAGCTGAGCTGAAGGGAGCAGCTAGCAAATGAGGTCCACTCTCCCACAGAGACCGAGCACTGCAGGGCAGCCAAGAGCAGGAGAAACCAAGAAGTGACAGATTATCATCTGTAGCTGTCAGCCTCCCCTTCTCAGCACCAGTAACTTACAGGTTTACACAGACTTCTTGTCCGAAAGAGCAGGAGTGACTTGTCCGAGCTCTCTAAGCCCATTTACAACCCAATTAACATTCCAGTGCTGCCGCTGTGCAACACAAGGCAGACCTTCGAGGCGGACCCACCAATTCACACTGGTGGTGCCCACAGACCCTGACCGAGGTCACACCCTCACAGCACGTGGATGCTTCCACTTTATGAGAGACATGATCAATGGAAGCAACTGAAGGATGTGTAAATGGCATTTGGAATACTCAGCCTGGAGAGTGGGGGAACAACCTGGAGCAACCCACTAGGACCCAAGGCTCACATGGTCACATGGCTCACACTTCACAAGGGAAGTGAATTGCAAAGAAAGAGGCACCTTAAAGATACGTGTTGTAGTAACCTTCACTATGAGAAATCTTTGTGAAACTTATATTAATGCAGAAGGAAAAAAAAATATAGTATTTCCTTTTTAACATGCTAGAGTCTAATTGAACAGAGACATCCTCGTTCAAGCCCTAAGCAACACTTCACAGCACATGAAGGATACAGAATCACTTTAATTTTATTAGGTAGTTACTTGAAATAAGGTGATTGAGGAAGAGGCTTTATCTAGGGATAAAAGCTCAGCTATTTTTCCTCCAGTATAAAACGTTGCTGCAAGCATGCCAGCCTGAAAAAAACCCCTACGCTATAATAAATGTAGAAATGCTCTCAGTGATTTCATAAGTGCATGCTGCAGGCACTCTGAGTAGACGTGATCACTGTATGTCACATTGGCAACTCTGTGGTACTTCCATTCGCTTTGGTGTGGCACACTGTGGAACCTGGAGCTGGATGCGAGTGAATACAGAGAGGGGCAGTAACAGTGAAAGGGTTCAGAAAACATTAATGAAGAGGAAAGGCTAAAGTAATTGTTTGTTTAGGCAGAGAAAGAAGAGATGAGAGATGATAACAGGTTTCCAAGATGTAAAAGGTCAAGCTTTTAGACAATAAAAGACTTTACATGACCCTTTGTGCACATATTATCTTGAACACAATTCTCAGTACAGAAGACAGAGTTAGAGGCTTTCCAGCCTCTATATATATACCACGTAGGTATAATTACACAGTAGAACCCAGGGGGTCGTGGTATCCTCCTTGTTGGAGGGGCTGAAGTTAGAAACTCATTTGTCATGAGAGTTTGAGTGCAGACCCTGCACACATACAAGATGAATTTCTGAGGGGCACTCCAGTCTTGCCTTTCAGCTGTGCTTCAGAGTCAAACAGGCAATTACCACCCGGGTTCTCATTTCTGCTCTTCAGCAATCCGGCACTGGGGCTGCGTGGGCTGCGCTGCACCGTCGGGGCGCTAAGAGAAGGGTAAATGATATTTAAAAAAAAACAAACACAAAAATTGGGGAAATAAAACCAAAAAAAGCCCAAATCCCAAAGTCCCTCTAGAATTACTGGCAGGACATGACGCGCGGGACGTGACCACTGCCGTGCCGGGAGCCCCTCACAGCCCCGAGACCCCGCGGGGAGCCGCGGGTGGGTGGCGAGGGCACCGCGCCCCCTGGCGGCCGCCACCATTACCGCCAGCACCGCGCGCGAGGCCCGCTGCGCGACAGTGCGCGAGATCCAGCCGCGTGACGGGGCGCGAGCATCGGCACGAGACATAGCACGCGATACCCGGCGCGCGAGCCGTCACGAGACCCGGCGCGAGACGGTGCGCGAGATTCCGCCGCGCGACCGGGCACGCGACAGCACGCGAGACCCGAGCACGCGACAGGGCGCGAGACAGGGCACGCGCGAACCTCCGCGAGACACGGCACGCGACCCGGCACGCGACACAGCGCGCGACAGGGCGCGAGCACCAGCGCGCGACAATGCGCGAGACAGGGCACGCGCGAACCTCCGCGAGACACGGCACGCGACCCGGCACGCGACCCTCAGCGCGCGACCGGCCGCGAGACAATGCGCGAGACACGGCACGCGACCCAGCGCGCGAGCAGCAGCGCGCGACCCGAGCGCGAGACAGGGCACGCGCGAACGTTCCTCCGCGAGACAATGCGCGCGACCGGCCGCGAGACAATGCGCGAGACTCGAGCACGCGACAGGGCGCGAGCACCGGCGCGAGATTCGGCCGCGCGACACGGCACGCGAGAGGGCGCGCGATATTGGGGCACGCGGCAGTGCGCGAGCCCAGGCGGTAGCGCCGAAACGCCGTCGCGGCCCCAGCGCAGCCAAAGCCCTGCTCGCGGGGGGAAATCCCGCTGTGCCTCCCAGCATCGGGGAACACCGACCGCCCGGCGAACGCACAGAAAGCCCGCACTGCCCAAGGGCAGTCAAGGGAGAGGAGTAGGTCAAAGAGCAAACGGTGGTGTGAACCCCTCCCAAAAACCATGGAAACCTGCTTCGAGCTTTTCGGCTCTCTCCCGAGTCCGAACCTCGACAAAGACGAACAGGGGTGGGGGTTGGCGGGGTTGGTCAGGAGGGAAGGGAAGCAGAACGTGCTGTGAGCGCAGAGGAGCAGAGAAGGCAAGTCTGATGGCTCCAACTCACACCCAGGAAGGGGGGATTCATGTATTTTTTGAGGTTGCAGCTGTAGCCCCAGCAGGGTTTGCGCTGTCCTGAGTTTTTGTTGCCACTCCAAGTCACAGACTGGCAGTGAACACACCACAAACCCGTGTCTCCACTGCCCACCACCTGCCACGGCTATGAGGTACTTGCCAGTCCTTTTCCATTGGGAACCAACAGCTCATCTTCCCCACTTCCAGGCTCCTGGAAGAGTGATTTTCAAACCATATCCTGCTACTGTAAACCTTTAATTTAACAGACTAAATATTACAAGATGTTATTATAATCTACTGGGACCTGTTGCTGTAAAGTGATTTTGACAATATCAAAACACAAGGAAAACTCATGTATCACAGATGAAACCAGGTAGTCAAAATGAATATTTCAATCTTAAGCTTCAATGCTATTTTAAGTTATATCTTGTGATAATTGAAATTCAGCTCAAACTGTTTTTTAATTTTCATTTAAGAGTTACACATACTTGAAATCCATCAGGTGCTTGATTCTGCTCTGGAAACATTCCCACACCTCCCTGTGCTTCTCCTCAGTAAGAACTAGCACTGCTTGACTTCTTCATTGAAAGCCTCCATGTGGAACTGTGGAAGGGGGGAAGTTTGGTCAGGTTGGTGTTCCCCCCTCCTACCCTGAGGTCACTTTGCACACCAGTCCACGATCTTACAGCTCCATGTTTTCCATTAAAGACTCCTGTGGGGCTGGAGACATGAGCCCACCACTACCATCCTAACATGATCATCATATACATGAGCAACTACAGCTTCCTCACAATTTAATTTAGCAGTTTAAATGAGCACAAACCTCACAGAATGTTTGCCCTCTGATTACCCTAGAGGTGGTTCAGTGAAACCAAATTCCTAAAACAGATTTGAGGACAGTGGAATAAAGCAATACAAGAAGTTCTATTGATTTCCAAATTCCAGCCCCTCAGGAGACCGCTTACCTGAAGAAATAGTTACTTGTTACCAGCCCTACATGAGGAGAAAGGCACACACACTTTACCTCCTCCCCCAAAAAAACCCTGAGTCTACTCCAACTGGCAGAGGGAACTTCAAGAACCAAATAGTTTCTGCTTCCTGCAGAAGCAAGCCAAGTTCCCCTCATCATTCTCACTCCCATAGGTCTGGGATTCAAGAAAACGTATCTGGAATATCTGGTTGTATTTATTTGGTTTAGAAAGGAGAACGATCCTTTGAAACAGCTCGTATTTCCAGTTTCATTTTTTTAGTTAAAACAGTCCCTTTTCATGGTCACAACCATACCAGAGCTGCCCTCACAACCCCTGTGCAACCAATTCTGAAGGGGCACAGGGTGGTCCTGCTTCACCTCAGGAGGATCCCACGAGAACGAAGGAGCTGCGAGGTCAGAGATTTCAGCCTGCATTTCATGCTGCCTGCCATGAAGCCAGCCAAAGGCTGTTTACAGACAAAACTTTTGGGCAAGTTAGATATGCCAAAAAGTGGTAATAACTTTGACAAATAATTTTAATATATATAAGTAATAAGATGCAGGGAAAAAATTCTGATGCTGTATTGCACAGCCTGGATCTGTGTATTTCTTATGCTTCCAAGAGACTGGTTCTAGTCTATAGATTTACTTGCTTTCACTACTGTTTGTCTACCAAGTACTGTAAATACAGTGTTGCCACCTCCTTGTAGCTCTGAGGGAACTTGCACTTGAGCGACTACATCAGCACTACCCTTGGGAGCCTAAAAAGCCTGAAGAACTGTCCATCCAGGGAAAAACTAGACTTGTAGCCTGCTCAGATGTGGGAAGTTAAAAAATACAATGGCACGATACATGAAACTGAACGATGGCAGCCTGCTCAGCACCCACACAGGAGCAACTCCACCAAGACTTTGATGGGAAAACAAATGATGGCACATGAATCACCAGGAGATCTTTTTTTTACTAATCAAAGTCCCACCAATGTCCATGTGACATAGAAAAAGCAGAGCTATCTTGGCATCAAGTGCCAGAGACCCTACAGCATTCCTGAACTTTTCAATAAACAAGAAAACATAGCTATGAACTTTTTACAATTTACAGACCTCAGCATTTTTTAACAGTGGTGCTGACTCCTGCAGAGTAGATTTAAATCCCAGGACAAGAGTCTTTCTCCTCTTATTTACATTTACATTTCCTTCAGAAATCATCCTAGGTCTCCAGAAGTCCACGGATCACAAGTTAAATACTTTCTCAGACACTAGTATATGCTTCATAGCCTGGAAAACCTAGCACAACTGGGCAGGCAGCCAGAGTCCGTCTTCAGATTTTTTTTGACTGGCATGACTTAACTGCATCTCTTTTATTTATTTATATGAGATACTCTTGTGACAGAACAGGAAGGATTTACAGGGAGATGTCAAGTATCTGCTCAGCTCTTCCCCATCATCTGTATCATGCTGGCACAGTGCCCTTGCAGAAAGCACCAGAGCCTATCCATTTCCATCCTTGGCTAGCAGTGGATTGCCAGACAGTGCAGAATATACCCTCAGGATATTAATGTGAGCCTCATAGGTGATGCTCAGGGGATGCTGTACTATGATCCTATAAAAACACTCTTGTGATGTCATGCATGCTATTAGTGCATCAGTATTTATGCTTGCGTGCCTGAATATGAAATGCAGACAGATGTATGTAATACTTACTGAAGTACCTACCCCTTTAGGAGAGATATAAACAGAAAAGTGACTGAAACAATTTAAAATTTTAAAAGTTCACCTATATCTCTTAGGCTGCTCACTTAAGGACGATGTTGTGAGAAGCGATTATGCAGACTGAAGTGCACACCTCATCGTTTTAACTGGAGTTCAGCCTGTACTTGTGCTCACTCCAGTGCCCTGCAGAACTTGTTCATTCTCCTGCTTCACAGGCACATATTGGAACTGTTTCCAAACTCTCTATTGCAGGGACTCATGTGACAAGGGACTGGAGAAGAGAGAAGGAAGGGACAGACAAACCAGGCTGGTTCTACGGTCTTCATAATACAGAACAGCAACTGGTGGATTTTTTTTTTTTCCCCAGACAGATAGAATAACTCCTGTGATGGAATTAAAATATCATGTCCTACATGTGAAACAAGCAAGCCTGAGTTAGAAAGAGTGCAGTGTAGAAAGATGTATGAGATCAGGGGAATTCCTTCTTAAACAAATTGAAAGAAGAGCAGCCCACAGGTGTGTGAACTCTGGAAGAAGCATGTGTCAGGGAGAAACTTTCTCACTCATAATACCTCATAGAAGGGATAGTAAAGCAACCAATAAAAAAATGCTATTTAACATGATATGAAATTATAAACTATAATCTGAAATTATCTGAGCTCTACTCATTTTTCTTTTAACTTTGTTTTCAGTTTTGTAATTAGCACTTCATTGTGTGCTATGCTAGAATCACAGTGTTTTCACTTTCAGCCTGAACAGCGTTAGCAGTGACCCAGGCAAGCAGCACCTCTAAATAGCAGAGTGCCATAGACAAACTCCTTGGGTACTTAAAGGCCACACTCCTGGTCACACTGATGGTGTCAAGTGTGCAAATACTGATAGATTTTCCTCTGCTGGGTGTTAGCCAACACCCTCTTCTCCCCCAGCCCTTGAGCAGGAATGACACTGCTCCCAGCCTCCCATCATCACAGATACTCTGCCTGCCATCTAATTTTCAGGAAGCAAACAAAGGCTAACTCTGCCTTCCTCTGGGTAAAAAATGGGATGTGATGCACACACACATTAAATACCTTGTATAAAATCAGATCCTTTGCCACAAGAATGTTTCTCTTAATGACATTTTGTGTCAGACACCACCACCATAGACTACTTCCTGGAAGAGATCAGCTATAAGAAACATTTGCCCCTAGTTTTCAGACAAGCAGCCTGTCCCAGTGCTATCACAGTCTCTCCAGAGCTTCAAGATAGTGATAGAGAGAGGGAAAAAAAACCCCACCTCTAAGTCTCCCACACTGATTTAATACACATTATGCTAACTGGAAGACTAGGCTTTTGTATCAGGGGAGATTAACCAGGATCTGCAGTAGCACAGACAAGGATGTGCATGTGTTCTGCCACCTATAAATAGGCTCTCCACTTAACAAAAACACAACCCAAACAGCCAGTTGTTAAAAATTAGACCACAGAGTCTAGGCAGCAACTGTCGCTTGCTGAATAAAAAAATCTGTGCAACCTACTCATGCTTCAACTGGCAAATGATGTACAGATTAATGTTTGATGAGAGGTGATAATATTAACATGATCTCTGAAGAGGCAGGAGAGAAACATGCTAAGCATGAAAACAATCTTTGAACTGCTGTTCAGCGGGGCTGTGAGTGGGGCTTTCCAGAAGTGAGCATTTTTAACTCACAGCTGCCACAGGCAGGTTTGGCAAGGACAGCAAGGACTGGCAAAGAGAGGAAGGCCACCTCCACATCTATGGGCTTATATTTGGCCTTGAGGCTTACCTCTATCACATGTTTCTTTTGTGATTAATTGCCCGGCTCTGTTCTAGATTCACCAGTTGCCTGGAATTACCTACAGGGGAATTCCAAGGATCAATGTACTGAAAACAGGAGAAGCCTAGCCCTCAGTATGGTCATTGCAGAGCAGACTTGAGTCAGGGAACAGGAATGCAGACAGAAGTTTGCATTATGCTAAGCTCAGCTGAGTCAAACAGTTTTAAAGGACCAGCCCCCAGAAAGCTATACTGCAGGTGCTCTACAGCAAAAGTAAAGTTTGATTGGGTCATGGAAGCACCAGTGCTTCTGAAAAACACCATTTCTGCATGGTGCAGACTACTTGCCAGCAGCCCTGTACCTTTGTGCCATTCCAAGTCTCACATGTTGACCTGACTGTTTATAAATCAGGACAAAGATTCACAAAGGCCAACCTGGTTTGATTTCCCAATTTAAAAAACCAATCAAAGAAAAAACCACCGTATCAAAAAAAAAAAAAAAACAAAAACAAAACAAACAAACAAAGCAACAACAAAAATCCCAACCCCTTTCTATCGGTCAAACATCTGAATCTTGTCTCAGGGGCTGATTTTGTTGATCATTTAGCCCAAAAGGATAAGCAAGATTACCCCTACACCACTGGGCTAGGGCCTCTCTGATACAAAACACTGCCCTTCTGCAAGGCTGTGCCATGCCTTGTGCCCTGTGTCATAAAGGTGGTTGATTTGCTGACTTGATCTCAGTTCTGTGATTGAGCTGGAGTTGAAGCTGCTGATTCATCTAGCTTGTATCACCTGTGTCTGAATGCCTGCACCCCTGCCAGGCAAGTCTACTTTAAAGGGTTTGAACCAGCCATACAACAGAGGTCCTTCATCACATAAAACAGCAGCTTTGACACCAGAATACCCATGTAAATAAAATACAGCACAACCTTCCCAATGTCTTGCTCTTCTCTTTTTCTTTTTTATCTCTCTTTTATGTTGTTTTTAATTAGGGTGAATAACAAGAAGGAAGACCTTTTACAGCTTAGTTATTTAAGCCCTGAGATATTTTCCATTATGCATGCCAATATGGATTCCGGATTCAGGCGAGTCTTACACTGCAACGACTTCCCAGACTTCAGAAGCAAGATTCCACTTTAGGTAAGCAAAAGCGGAATTATGCTGAGAATTTGGAAACAGCAGCTGTTACAGAAACAAACCAAAAAATTCATCCACATCCAGAATGACCCAACGAAAAGCTTACAAATCCCTTAAACAGGCACTGCAGAATTTAGCCAGGGTAAATCCAAACTGCACCATCTTCCTTCTCCGCCTTGCTTTCAGCAAGAGGTTACTGCTCCTGTAACAGGAATGGCAAAATACTGCTCTTTTATGTAGTCTTCACATGCAGCTTATGACAAGATGTTGGCTGTATGCAAGAATATAAGGCTATAAAAGATCACAGCCAAACCTGCCACATCTTACTTGTCAGAGCTCTCAGAGAAAACTACTAAGGCCACACTTTGAAATTTATTCTAGCACTAATATTTTAAAGGCTCTTGTAAACTTTATGAAGGACAGAGTGCTTGCTCTTTCACCACCCAGCGTGGACACCCTTTAACTAAGGGCAAACTGTGTTGAAAAGGTATGCATAAAACAACAAACTGCATTAAAAGCTTGAAATTCCTTTCTGAGGAAGCTAAATATAAGTCAATATATCTTAGAAGAAGACCATGAGGGTAGGGGAGGTAATTGACAGTGGAAGGCCAGAGGGCACTTTTTACTCCTTTCTGGCTGTGAAGCTCTCACCTGGGAACTGTTTTTGGCATCTAAAGATATTTTTCTTTCTCAGTGCTCCAGAGTGCATGTCAGATACCTGTCAGTTCTAGAATAGGCGCAGTGTGAAATACTTTGAGAAGCAGACATTGTATCAGTAAGCCATATGTTCTGCTTTAATGGCCACAATGGGAGTCCCGTGTAAACAACAGGAGAAATTATCGTGGATATTTAAAGGCTGAACATTTGCTTAATTTACACTGAAGAGAAGCATTACTAGTACCACTATGTTAGTCATATATTAAACTATATACAGCATTGAAGATCTATGATGACAGGTATATAAACCAAATCACAGTCCCAAATAGTCTGAAATCCATTTGTAGTCTTCCTTTATAGGAATGAAAATTTCAGAGCTTGAAATATGACTGAATGACTTTATCAGTGTATTTTTCATCTTTATAAAGTAATTACAACTGAAACTCCTTGCTCACAAATGCACAGTGAAACATGATTCCCATTCCCAATATCACCACTATGCCTTGTTATAAATGCACCAGGACAAACTGCTAAAACATTCCCCCAAGGCTTTATAAAAGTTATAAAGGCTAGTTCTTTACAGGTATTCAAACTGCATTGAAATCCCTAATTTTTGAACATGTTTTTGTGTGTATATTTCAGTTTCCATGAAGAAAAACAGGTAAACAGAATAACCTGCAATTATGCTTTGTTTTTACAGTAACTCTGGCAGGAAAATGCAGATCATGGATGTGCTTGCCAGGTTTAGACAGTTCTACAGTTTTACATTTTACATATCTCTTCTCTGAAAACTGCTGAAATAATGTCCTTTAGTAACTAACTCACCAACTTCCAAATGTTACCACCTTCAACAACAGTAGGTTCTTGGGCACATTACCTTCTTTTACACAATAACGAAGCTAGTCTGAAGTGGAAGGAATACCCAAATGTGCACTAGGAAAAGGTATAAAATCATTCCACCAAACATCAGCCACACCAGTTTTAAAAAAATGACCAATCAGAATACAAGAGGCAGGCTTTTGACTGTGTGTTTGCATTTTGCATTTTTCATTTTTCATTTACTGCAGTAACAGACTGTTCTGTTGCACTTAAACGGCTTTTCACCAGTAACACTTGCAAAACCAAAAGTCATTTGCACAGGAAAATCAGCAGAGCAGCTGTCAGCAGAAGAGTGAATGTAACGGTGCTAGTATCATTGCCCAAGTAAAATGCTGACTTTGAAACTCCAGCAACCTGAAAAGGCTCCGTAAGCCCACCGCAACCTTTTATTGTAAGGTTTCATGTTAGGATTTCATCTCCAATTGACCACATATGTCAGAAAAGCATGGGAGTGTTGTTACCTCTAAGGAATGCAGCATACATCTCAGGCATACATAGAGGCAGTACCTGGTGTAAGAATCAGTTAAATCTTCAGAAAAGGGGTTTGAGCAGGAGTTAAGATGCAAGTGTCTTGCTGTCTCTTTTCACAGGGGACATTTTGCATCCTGACAACCAGCTTCTTACAATTCAGTGCCCACTGTTCTGGGCACCTGACAGAAACATCCCAGGCTTTGTACTGTAATGTTGTTTTCTGAAGCTGATATCGCAAGTGTTTACAGTTACAGGGCATAGCATTATGAGCTCTTCTCCAATGAAATAACTTTGGTTGTCTTGTTTTACACTGCTCGCCAGCAGAGCCTTGCTGACTTCTTTCAAAAAAGCGTGAAGCTGTGTCTGTGCTCATCGGGTCGTACTGGTTTGTCATCAGTCCTCCCTTAGTAAATTAGCAAAGTCATCCATGAAGTGAGTTGGGGAAACAGCATCATCCTGTGCTCTCCTGTGCAATGCAGCAGCACGCTACTAAAAATAGCTGCTGCCTTCTACTCCAGAGATGGAAGCTTCCTGAAAGTAAGATTTTTCTATAGTGAGGGTATATGCATGATACACAGCACACTGATATATCACCACTTGTCCCTATGTGAAGTGAATAGATTTGCAGTATTTCCCCAACCAAAAAGCTGTCCTAGCCACACAGCAAGTATGTTTCTAGTAAACATTCTTCGGCCTCCGCCCCCCCAAGCTTGAGCAGTAGCATTTTAG